CAGCCTCTGTCACAAGCGAGAGTACAAGTACAAAAGGTTTTAAGATTCCACGTATATATGCACAAACCCATAGGTCATACGGAGTCAAACGTTGGGGACAAGGAAAACGTAGTGTGGACTCCCGGATGGTGATTCATGTTGCTGGCGTGTTTCATGCTCCTCCTTTCCATGAGTTCTCCATTTCTGTTTTAAAACGTCTTTACTTGGTGAATGAATATGTTGTGACCCCCAGGCCCTAAGGGTGGAGCGGAGACTCCCCGCGCGCGCGCGCGTGTGTGTACTCACCTAATTGTGCTTGCGTGGGTTGAGCTTTGGCTCTTTGGTCCCGCCTCTCAACTGTCAATAAACTGTTGTGCAGATTTCTGAGCCTACTGGGCTCTATCATATCTACATTTAAAACTGTGTATGGAGTCAGCCTCCACCAAATCTCTGCCTAATGCATTCCACCTGTTAACTACTCTGACACTGAAAAAGTTCTTTCTAACGTCCCTGTGGCTCATTTGGGTACTCAGTTTCCACCTGTGTACCCTTGTTTGCGTACCGCCAGTGTTGAATAGTTTATCCTTGTCTGCCCTGTCAATTCCCCTGAGGATTTTGTAGGTAGTGATCATGTCTCCCCTCACTCTTCTGTCTTCCAGTGTCGTAAGGTGCATTTCCCGCAGTCTTTCCTCGTAACTCATGCCTCTTGGTTCTGGGACCAGTCTAGTGGCATACCTCTGAACCTTTTCCAGCTTCGTCTTAAGCTTGACAAGGTGCGGGTTCCATGCTGGGACAGCATACTCCAGGATTGGTCTTACGTATGTGGTGTACAAGATTCTAAGCTATTCCTTACACAGGTTCCTGAAGGCTGTTCTGATGTTAGCCAGCCTTGCATATGCCGCAGATGTAATTCTGAAATGTGGGCTTCAGGAGACAGGTTTGGTGTGATATCAATTCCTAGATCTTTCTCTCTTTCCGTTTCATTAAGTCCTTCATCTCCAATTCTGTATCTTGTGTCTGGCCTCCTGTTTCCACCGCCTAGTTTCATTACTTTGCATTTACTTGGGTTGAACTTGAGCAGCCGTTTGTTGAACCATTCATTCAATCTGTCCAGGTCATCTTGTAGCCTCCTACTATCATCCTTTGTTTCAATCCACTTCATGATTTTGGCGTCATCAGGAAACATTGATAAAAACGAGTCTATACCATCCGGGAGATCATTTACATATATCAGAAACAGTATAGGTCCAAGGACTGACCCCTGCGGGACTCCACTTGTGACGTCTCGCCAATCTGAGACCTCACCCCTCACACTGACTCGTTGTCTTCTGTTGCTTAAGTACTCCCTTATCCAATGGAGTACCTTCCCTTTCACTCCAGCCTGCATCCCCAGCTTTTTCACTAGCCTCTTGTGTGGTACTGTATCAAAGGCTTTCTGGCAATCCAAAAATATACAGTCTGCCCATCCCTCTTTCGTGCCTGGTCGTAGAATTCAGTGATAAATTCCAGGAACTCAGATACGGTAAAAATGAGAACCTTAAACATAATACAGGGTACAAAACACAATCAAATTTGCCCATAGTAGGAAAGCAACATGTAAAGGATTTGGGAATAATGATGTCTGACGACCTAACATTTAGGGAGCATAACCAAGTAAATATTGCGTTAGCCCGAAAAATGATAGGATGGATTACGAGAACTTTCAAATCCAGGGATCCCATCACAATGGTTGTACTCTTCAAGTCACTTGTGTTGTCCCGTCTTGAGTACTGCTCAGTACTCGCTTCCCCCTTCAGAGCAGGAGAGATTGTTGAAATAGAGGGAATACAGAGAACATATACGGCACGCATAGACGAGATAAAGCACCTAAATTATTGGGATCGTCCCAAAGCTCTCCAAATGTACTCGCTAGAAAGAAGACGAGAGAGATACCAAATAATACTTGATATAATAATACAAGATACTTGAGGGCCAGGTCCCTAATCTACACAGTAAAATAAAAACGTACTGAAGTGAACGATATGGAAGAAAATGCAGAATAGAACCAGTGAAGAGCAGAGGTGAGGTGCCATAGGCACAATCAGAGAACACTGTATAAACATCAGAGGTCCGTGGTTGTTCAACGTCCTCCCAGACAGCATAAGAAATATTGCCGGACGTCTTCAAGAGAAAACTAGATAGTTTTCTCCAAAGGGTGCCGGACCAACCGGGCTGTGGTGGGTATGTGGGCTTGCGGGGCGCTCTAAGCAACAACCTGGTGGACCAAGCTCTCACAAGTCAAGTCTGGCCTCGGGCCGGGCTTGGGCAGTAGAACTCCCAGAACCCCATCATGTTCCTTTTTCGGTCCTCTATTCTTTGTTCTGTTCTCAGTTCTATTCTCTGTTCTGTTCTCTGTTCTGTTTTCTGCTCTGTTCTGTTCTGTTATCTGTTCTTTGTTCTTTGTTCTGTTTGGTGACGTTCTCTTTTCTGTTCTCTGTTTACTGCTCAGTTCTCTGTTCTGTTCTCTGTTCGGTTCCTTGTTCTGTTTTCCCTTTACTTTGTTCTGTTCTCTGTTCTGTTCTCTGCTCAGTTCTATGTTCTCTGTTCTATTCTACTCAACTCAGTTCTGTCCTCTTTTCTGTTCTTGGTTCTCTGTTGTGTTCTTTGCTCTGTGTTGTTCTTTGCTCTGTGTTGTTCTTTGCTCTGTGTTGTTCTTTGCTCTGTTCTGTTACTTTAGGAGAGGAGAATAACATGATATAATGAGGATTGAAGCACGAGTTGGCGTTATTGCGTAAGACACTAGACATAGTTGCTAGTTTTCAATTATTATGATTATTCAAAATAGATATGTTATATAGAGATTGATTGTTTGATGAAGATTAAGCCACCCAAAAGGTGGTACGGGTATGAATAGGCCGTAAGTGGTGGCCCTTTGGAGCCATTACCAGTATCAAGAGGCAGTATCGTTTCTACCGCAGAGGGGCCTGGGTTTTGTTCTCAACGAAATCTGCAGAAAAATGTTATTTAGGTAAAGCAATCTTATTGCAATGTTATTTAGTAAATTTTAAAGTAAAACACAATCAAATGTACCCATAGTAGGAAAACAGCATGTAAAGGATTTGGGAATAATAATGTCTGACGACCTAACGTTTAAGGAGCATAACCAAGCAAATATTGCGACAGCCAGAAAAATGATAGGATGGATTACGAGAACTTTCAAATCCAGGGATCCCATCACAATGGTTGTACTCTTCAAGTCACTTGTGTTGTCCCGTCTTGAGTACTGCTCAGTACTCGCTTCCCCTTCAGAGCAGGAGAGATTGCTGAAATAGAGGGAATACAGAGAACATATACGGCACGCATAGACGCAATAAAGCACCTAAATTATTGGGATCGTCTCAAATCCCTCCAAATGTACTCACTAGAAAGAAGACGAGAGAGATATCAAATAATATACACCTGGAAGATACTGGAGGGCCAAGTACCAAATCTACACAGTAAAATAACAACGTACTGGAGTGAACGACATGGAAGAAAATGTAGAATAGAACCAGTGAAGAGCAGAGGTGCCATAGGCACAATCAGAGAACACTGTATAAACATCAGAGGTCCGCGGTTGTTCAACGTCCTCCCAGCAAGCATAAGAAATATTGCCGGAACAACCGTGGACATTTTCAAGAGGAAACTAGATTTATTCCTCCAAGGAGTGCCGGACCAACCGGGCTGTGGTGGGTATGTGGGCCTGCGGGCCGCTCCAAGCAACAGCCTGGTGGACCAAACTCTCACAAGTCGAGCCTGGCCTCGGGCCGGGCTTGGGGAGTAGAAGAACTCCCAGAACCCCATCAACCAGGTATCAACCAGGTATGAGAGAGCGTTGTTGCTGGGTGCCCTCTGCAATTCTCCGGGTGCCTAACTTGTTTAGGCAGTTTCATCCGGAGGACGAGGTGCACGGGGGTCAGGTGAGATGGGCTTCAGTCCGTCATCTCGGGTCTCAGGTGATCTCGTCTTCCGGTAGCCGTCTCGTGGGGGCTAGACATCAATGCTGAGGGACTTAGAAAAACAATTCTCTAACTGGAACAAATGCTGTTACTGGGACAATAGGCATAGTTTGTTGCCTTTGTGGGGATCTCGTCCAAGGCTGTCAGTCGTAGGCGAAACAGTTTTCCTGCTAGCCTCCCCCATTTAATGAGAGGCGAGAGTGTGTAACGATGCCATTCCTGGGAACTCTAACGAGCGGTGAACAACCAAGCAGCAGTTTTCGCAGAAATGCCACACCAAGTTAGGGATACTGAACCCATCCTCTCCTGGGTTCCCCCAACATTAGAACCCACGTTCAGATAGGGTCCCAAGTCGAAAGAAATCAACAGCACCCCTGGTGAGGCGCAGGAGGAGAACCTGAACGCCACCACACGGAGTGACACCCATCTAAGGTGTAAACACCGAGCGCCGGCGGTCCACACCCGACACAGCTCCCCAGGCACTTTACAGTGAAGTGCTCCTATACGGTGATGACACAGTGCTCCCTAGACCTCACGGTCAAGTGGCCACAGGTTCCCCCCTTACACAGTGCTCCCTAGACCTCACGGTCAAGTGGCCACAGGTTCC